ATGGCCGGATCCAAAAAAAAAAAAAAAAAAAAAAAGGAAAGTAGTCAATTTATAAAAAATAATAATAAAAAACAATTAATCTGCAACACCTACAAAACAATGCAGCTAACTCTTAAATACAAAAATATGTGATCTGTGTTTCTCGAAGGTGAGTAGGAATCATATTCACTGCATTTTCATACATGGTTCACATTTATGCTCATAACGGCTTCACAGCAAACGTCTTGCATTCTAACTTTGTACACACACACCCTCAAATGTGACCCTGGAGCACAAAAGCAGTAAGTCAAGTCAGTGGGGTATATTTGTAGCAATAGCCAAAAATACATTGTATGGGTCAAAATTATTGATTTTTCTTTTATGCCAAAAATCATTAGGACATTAAGTAAAGATCATGTTCCATGAAGATATTTTGTAAACTTCCTACCGTAAATATATCAAAACTTAATATTTGATTAGTAATATGCATTGCTAAGAACTTCATTTGGACAACTTTAAAGATGATTTTCTCAATATTTTGATTTTTTTGCACCCTCAGATTCCAGATTTTCAAATAGTTGTATCTCATCTATCCTAACAAACCATACATCAATGGAGAGCTTATTTATTCAGCTTTCAGATGATCTATAAATCTCAATTTCTTAAAATTGACCTTTATGCCTGGTTTTGTGGTCCAGGGTCACATTTTAGGTCAATTGTAAGTTTAAAAAACTTGTGTAATTGGTAAATCATGGCCACAACTGATCTAAAATGAGGGAACAAATTAATTTGTAGCCACAATATCCTGTTTTTTCCCTGCATGCCATGTGTTTCACACAAATCACCCCATCCACAAAAAGTGAAAAAAAGCTGCATTTGTACCAAAGACTGTATAAGCTGCTAATGTTAAGCACATTTTTAGAGTAAAGGCAAACAGAAAAGCGTGTGTAATGACCTGCTGTCCTGTCGCTCTCCTCTCTCTCTGTACTGGTCTCTCTCTCGCTCTCGGTGGTCTTTGCCGTTGCTGAAGGAGGAGTAGGGTCTCTTCCTGGCATCGGAGCTCTTCCTGTACGAGTCGCCAGCGTGCCGATCTTTGCTGTGCTCATGGTAGCGAGATGAGTGATGTCTGTCAGAGCTGTAGCTGTCTCTGCTGCTGTCGTCCTGCTGGGACTCCTTCATCCGCTCAACATCTGTAAAAACAACAGCATTCAGTGGAACATTAGCAGAAATGTGGCAATATCCATACACCATTAAAGCTGCAGTAGCAACAGATCTTTTCTTCATATTGTGACGTAGATCCAAGAGAAACATTATTTAAAAAATTAGGACAGGGACTCGGTTCATTGGTTGTTGACTAGACAGAAGCATATCTGAATGAGAGCTCAGTCTATATTAAAAAGGGGGTTTAAGAAGATTACATTCACAAGTTATTACAGCATACGTCACCAGAGAGATGCTGTTACATCAGATCATCAAGAGATGACATTTTGATGAAAAACAAACATGCATTGTCTGTCAGAGCTGTAGCTGTCTCTGCTGCTGTCGTCCTGCTGGGACTCCTTCATCCGCTCAACATCTGTAAAAACAACAGCATTCAGTGTAACATTAGCAGAAATGTGGCAATATCCATACACCATTAAAGCTGCAGTAGCAACAGATCTTTTCTTCATATTGTGACGTAGATCCAAGAGAAACATTATTTAAAAAATTAGGACAGGGACTTGGTTCATTGGTTGTTGACTAGACAGAAGCATATCTGAATGAGAGCTCAGTCTATATTAAAAAGGGGGTTTAAGAAGATTACATTCACAAGTTATTACAGCATACGTCACCAGAGAGATGCTGTTACATCAGATCATCAAGAGATGACATTTTGATGAAAAACAAACATGCAAGGATGGATGAATCATTCACAAAACGAGTTTAGAAAATAGGGTGATTTTTAGATTTTTTGAGACTTTCAGATCAAATGTGCAATATGCATGGAAGTTAATCACCAATTAAATGGACACAAAACGGAGAGCAGACATACCTGCATGTTTAAAGCTTTGTGCATTTACAGTGCTAGTGTTCTGCTCCACTGCCTGAAACAAAACAAACATCGCACACTTACGATATCCCAAAGATAAAGATATGAATAATATTATTACAGCAGTGGACACTAATTCAGCAAAAACATACAAACGTAACTACCATAACAGAGAATCTTTGAAAACATTGTGTCCATACCTGAGCATTTTCTTGTCTTTTCTTGATGGCGTGTTTGTATAGTTTATGCAGTTTCCTTGCATCAAATTCCGTGAATTTCGAAACAAATATCCACAGATTTCTGGAATTTGGAAATAAACAAGGTATCGATAAACTCAATATTAACATTCGCTTATATATTGTGCATTCTAAGCTGCTGATGAAATGGCCGTACTTCCTCCACTGTTTGATCTGTTCGGGGTTGGTGTATTCTCTCAGACACTCGGTGATGTGATCTCCTATTTTGATCAGGCACTGACGCGTGTGCTCCAGCTGCTCGCGCTCAGACAGACCCTTCTCCGGTCGATCCAGCTGCTTGAGTGCTGCCTTCACCGGCCGCATGCGCTCCTTACACTGACAAGCACACGATACAGATGCAATCAGCTCACACCAATGTCATTTATAAAACGAGACATCAGCTCTGTATGAAACCAAGCGATCTGCATACTTGGTTTAAAAAAAAAAAAAAAAAAAAGACTGAGCAGTCAGCATTCTTATTAACCACTTAAGTTTAAGCACCCAGGAAGAACAGTGGTTACTAAATCACTTTAGTGAATTAGTGCTTGCGATGTGGCTTTGAATTTTCTTGAGGATAGGTTTGGATTAGAATGGATCAGAATCCATCCCATCAGCTTCCAGTGATTTTAAGCAAAGAGGAAGTCGACAGGGTTATCATCTCACCAGAGCCACTCAAGTCAAGTCACCTTTATTTATATAGCGCTTTTAACAATACAGATTGTGTCAAAGCAACTGTACAGCATTAATTAGGAAAATAGTGTCAATAATGCAAAATGACAATACTAAACATTACATTTTCAGTTAAAGCCAGTTCATTAGTGGTTCAACGGATCACAAATCTCATATTCATAATGTAATAAAAATCATATTACGGTTTTTGAGCCACGGATCGGATCGTTTTTCGGTTTAGCAAGAAAAAAAAAATCTATGTAACTTTGCTTTCCATAAATAAGTACGATACCACAGCAAAAACTCTTAGCCTAAGAAGGTTCAACCATTATTAAATAGACAAGTGAACAGCCAGTAAAAATAAGAACAAATAGGCTACACAAATTACAAGCATAGATAAATACAACAGAACAATGTTACAAATAAGGTCGGTAGTATTCAGATACAGAAATGTCATAATTAAGTGTAAAATAAAACTGCATAGTGTTCACTGAAAAAATTTAAAATAGATTCATCTTAGTCAAAAACGTGTTTTGTGGTTTGATGAGCATAATGACAGCAGCAGGTATTATTAGACTGCTGCCCCTTTAAGATCTGATGCACGGATCCAATACAGCCTAATGTTACACATCCAATTTCTTTCTCAGCTCGTTCACTTAAGACACAACAGACTGCATTTGCCACAATGATTGTCGAGATCGGTATTTTGTCAATTTTATGTGTATATGCATCTGTTCAAAGGCAAGGAGTGAATGAGATAGGAAAGATGGTTCAGTTCGGTGTTGGCACGCAGTCAAACGCGCCTCACTGCATGTGCGAGCGTGATAGAAAACAGCGAGCGAGTAACGAATCGAGTTCCATTTTGCCGTTACTTTCGCTAGAGTGGTTTAAAATCGCTTGCGTGTGTAAAAACGGGCAATTGATAATCTTTCACTTTATTAAGGATAAATATTGCAATTAATCCGCGGACCACATGCGTGCCGAACCGTGGGGCTTGGTCCATACGAATCACGGATCAACTACGATCCGTTTAACCACTACGTCTGTGTAGTATAGAACTTAAATAGATACTTCAACTATAGATACTTAAATAGTATCTGTGCAGTGACTCACTTAGTGACGCCTTCCAGAAAGTGTAAATAAGGCTTCAGCCTGAGAATTGGCCATCTAAAATAAAGCATTCAGTGAGACGCCACAAACTCACCACGCTGAAGGTTTTCTGGTCCAGTTCTTCAGACTCGTCAGACAGGGGAAGTGCATCTCCTCCGGAGGGCGTGTGCACAGGGGTATCGGCTTTCACCTCCACAGCCTGAGAACACAGTCAACGGATTTTGAATAACAACTCATGCAAATGTCCTATATTTGGATACAAAGACAAAAAAGACACTAGGATGTCTTAAAACCTAGCGAGTTGCCCGGAACAGCATTTTTGCAATCTTTGGCATGTGAAGGTCCACTAGTTGATGGTCTGACTGTCACATCAATAGCCTGTTCAAATCTGTCAAAGGTGTGTCATACTCACTGGTTCAGAATGAAAAAAGAGGGACAGACTTAACTCCTCAGATACTTCTCACCGATTCGGTCACGTGAGGCTTGCTGAAATAACACCATGTTTACACATCTCGACTGCTATGAAAAACATTACACAACATGTGATTATTAACAAAGACGGTCACAGAATAACCCTGGGACGAGCGACTAGTCCGAGACTGAGAGCATCATGTTTGAACGAGTGAGACGGAGAGCATGCAAAAATTTAATTTTTCTGTTAAAAAAATTTAAATCAGCTAATTGGATGCAGGCTTGACTCATAATGTGCCTTTGATTTCCAAAAACGCTGTCTAGGTAGGCAGCTAACTAGTTGTGTGATTATGAGCATTGTGACCTTCTCTGCAGGAGTCTCTTCTTCAGGCTCTGGCTTCATCTCCTTCTCTTTTGGTTCCCTCTCTTTGCTGTCCAGACCCTCCTCTTTCTTCTCCTTCTTAATCTCTTTTTTGACCACTTTCTCCATGATGTCCTTCTCATCGGGCTCTTTATCCTCAGGCTCGTCCTCATCAGACTCCTCATCCTCATCCTCCTCCTCCTTTACCGACCGCTCTGACACGCATGCTCTTCTGTTGGGCGGCTTAACTGGAGGAGTTTCCTGGAAGAACACAAAAAAAAAAACACTTTAGCACAGGTGATGAGCGGGACTTTATTCTTTCGTCAAGGTTGTCAAATTGTAAAAAACAATGTGTATTTTTTTCAATAGAACCAAGGTGGAATGGACCTTGGAGAAGGATGTTAAATGCCTGGCATGGGAGGCTTTATGCCACTGTAAAATATTTGGGGCCACTGTTTTAAGGCATGGTTTTGACATGACAGCCTATTAAAAAAAAAGCTTTCAATAATCTTCGGATAGAAATGTTTGGACTGTGTCAAGTTTGATGACAATACAATGAATGCTCTAGGACAGTGGTTCAACCTTTTTCACTCGAAGGCATTCACTCTAACCCATTGTCCAAAACAATATTTAAATACCTAAGATATTTGTGGTACTTCTGCTGTAATGACAAAGTGGATTATTTTCAATGTTTACAGAATTATATATATTACACACACACACACACACACGTGTATATATATATATATATATATATATATAACAATTAACAATTAAATCACACAATTATAATACTTTAAAATTATATACATTTTATTTAAATCAAAACTACTAAATTCTGTAGTTTCAGATTCAAGAACTGAATTTTCTTCAAGGTTCTGTAATGCATTTATATAACTTTTCTACTTGTTTGTGATCATGGGATAAGGTTTTCAAAATTATTTCACTTTCAGATTTGATTAATGCCCATGGTCCAGAATTGTAATTTTTTTAAATTCTTAATATTTCTAGGTTTTTCAAAACCGTGAGAACCCTGATTCCTAAATAAAAATGACAGTTGTTGAGCGAGTATGTCGGTTATAGGAATATGTCGGTTTTCATCTTAATAGCTGAATTAGCTTGTAAGCTTTAGCTGTTTAATCTTAAAAAAAAAAAGCTTGTTTTGACATGTAATACATCTTAAGTCATCTCAAAGCCCACTTGTAAGTGTGCTGAAGCCTCCGTGGTTGAGAATCATTGCTCTAGGAGTTGTTAGCATAAAGATTACAGCAACGGCCTCAGCCTCTACCCTCACATGGTACACCTGCACTATTACAGCAACACAAACCATTTCCTCTTCCTCCTTCTCATCCTCTTCTTCAGAGCTCTTATCTGATGGCGGTGCAGAGGACAGACTGTTCGTCACATCATCCATCTTCGGCTTTACCGCTTTATTCTTCTTGCCCCGTGGTTTTCTCTTGCGTGAATTTGCCTATAGACCAGAAGGAACATCAGTGATTGTATTGTACGATCAATATGATGTATGATCACAGAACAGCAAATGAAATTGTATGAGCTGTTCACGGACAACGTAATTGTTATAAGTAACAGTTTAGCCACTTTACAGAACACCGTTTGTTGCTTACGTCTGCATTTAGTGAGCCAAGTGATGTTGTGTAGTAATTAGTGAGGATTGTGTGTAATCTGTGTGACTCACTGTGCCGGCCTGTTTCTGTGCTTCCTTCTTGGCGAGGTCTTTGCTCAGTAATTTGATGAGGTAGTCAGCTCGTGTCTGCAACTGCTTGGCCTGTGGCTTCTTGTCAGGGTCATCAGGAAGGAGCTGCAACACGTTTTGTAACAATATATCATTTAAATGCCATACATAATCACTAAGGACAGAACAATGTAATGGGATATTAAATCAAACACCACTGATTCTCCATGCGTTTCTGCACCTTATGTGTGAGGTTGAGGTCTGGGTCCATCTTGATCATCTCCCAGCTGCCATAACCGTACTCATAAATCCCAATAAGCAGGCTGGAGTCGTCCTCTTTACCCCACTCAATGTCAAAATGAGCTGCCTTTGAGTGGCATGGGATTATATACCTATAAATATTTACAAAATAAATAAAAAGATTGCCTTAAGTCATTTTTCTGCCCTCACAAAGTATAAAATGACAAAATACAGGTTAAAAGCTTAATGCTGCCTCAGCAAAGCCAAGCAAAAGACATCGGAGACAAACACTAACAAAAGAAAACGGTGTTGAAATCAGACTAGGGTTGCATGAATTGCACTGAACTCATGTGAATGCTAATATACCTCTTCCTCTCCTCAGGGTCAGCGGGAATGGCCTTGTGTAATGGTGCCAGTTCCTCCTCATGAGAGATCACCAGCTTAGCATTGACCTGAACCCCTGAGATCCTGAAGGTGGGTCCTTTCACCTTCCCTCGCCTGCCTCCTGATATGAACCAGCACAGAACAAAATCAAGACAGGCCTCCAAATGGATTTCTTTAAAAGAGGAAGGGGGATTTCCCATCCCGAATGCTTCACATTAGGACAAATTTATTCACTTTGATCGGAGTGCAAAAATTTAACTATTGTCTTACTCATGCAATATAATGACATCCAAAATGTTATAACTGCACCATGCAATTAAATGTGCTCTTCATTTAGGTGAGGTAAACTCACATCTTGACTGCAGGAATATGTGGACTAAGTGAAATGCACAAAACAATAATCCAGCCACAAATTCATGCCCTGAAGGCCATAGTTTACACAGACACCTCAGTAATCAGTCAGTGTGGTTATGTGCTGCTCTTGCCTGAGCTTCGTTCAGGTCCACAGGGGTTCTCTCTTAGCGTTTTCAAACAGCCGTTATGTACGGTCTCAGCCAGCCGCCGCAGATCATGCTCAGATTTATCCACCAGCTCAGCATCGCGAGCGATAGCATCAAGCCTGCAATACCCAGACAGTCACATCAATGACAGAGGTCAAAGTGCAACCATTACCATATAAAGCTATGAAAAACAGCTACCTACCTTTCTAAAGGGCCACCAAACTTTTTATAACTTTTGATAAACCTGTGTGGGGAAAAAAAAAGAGTTTTAAAATAAACAGTATTCATTAAAAAAAAAAGCAATTCTGTTACACCAAATACACAAAATAATGATCTTTTAAAAAAAAAGCATCATATGACCCCTTTAAAGTATAATGTTGAATGACTGCATTAATACATATTAATTAGAAATATATATATATATGACCCTGGACCACAAAACCAGTCTTAAGGGTAAATTTTTCTAAATTGAGGTTTATACATCATCTAAAAGCTGAATAAATAAGCTTTCCATTAATGTATGGTTTGTTAGGATAGGACAATATTTGGCCGAGATACAACTATTGGAAAATCTGGAATCTGAGGGTGCAAAAAATATATAAATATTGAGAAAATCTCCTTTAAAGTTGTCCAAATGAAGTTCTTAATGCATATTACTAATCAAAAATTAAGTTTTGATATATTTACAGTAGGAAATTTACAAAATACCTTCATGGAACATGATCTTTACTTAATATCCTAATGATTTTTGGCATAAAAGAGAAATCTATAATTTTGACACATACAATGTAATTTTGGCTATTGCTATATAGGAACATGATCTTTACTTAATATCCTAATGATTTTTGGCATAAAAGAGAAATCTATAATTTTGACCCATACAATGTAATTTTGGCTATTGCTATATAATACCCCAGCGACTTAACACTGCTTTTGTGCTCCAGGGTCACATATTTGGTGTGAAGAAAAACAATTAATAAAATTCACAGTGAATTCTCACCACTAATTAAATAAATAATGCTTTTATCGCTGATTTTCACTCCTAGTGTTGAATCTGCTTTACCTGCGTATCTCAGCATCAGTGAAACCCTTAATGTTCTCTCTTGGAATAGTTCGAGGTCTTCCTCGTTTCTTGGGCCTCTTTCTGTCAGAGACAGAGTCGCTGTCTGAACCAGAGTATCGTCTGTTCCGGCTACGCCTGCCCTCATTTCCATTAAAGTTGTTCTGTCATCACAAATTAAAAATGGACATGAAAACAGTACAAAGAACTAGGGGTGTATGTTAGTTTTTTATGGACCAGCATAACATTCATTAACTCTATTCATTTTATAGAATGAATATAGTTCATGATGTAACCCAAGCATTTGACATTACTGGCACTGTTAAACGCTGTATGACTGGCTAACCTGTTTAGCGCACTTCCTCATGCGGGGCAGTAAATAGATCTCTGCTAGCTCTTTTTGTCGCTCCTCTTCCTCGAGTCTCCTCCGCTGCTCCTCTGGGATAATGTCATCCCAGTTCCTATCATCCCTCTCAGTGTCCATGTCAATCTCCTCCTCCTCCATCATGGAGAAATTTGCCACCTGCAAGATAGAGCAAGCATTGTTTAATTGTGCGTTAATCATGTAACTGACAGCCTCTTGAGAAGGTGTCCAGCACACAGGTGGAAGGTGATGACTGATGTAAGGTTTAAAGTGAATACCTTAAATTGAGAGAGGAGCTCTTCAAACAATAACACATCATTTTTATATATACACACACACACACACAAGTTCTTTGGGTGGTTCTTTGCCTCCGCGTCGTGCATCTAAAATCCTTTATTGCACGGCAAGCCATTGATTATACCTTACATATATAACATATACACATGGGTGAACATAAGTTTTTCAGCCTGGTTCTCAAAAGAGCTCCTGGAGATTTGGTTTGGTCTTCACACTGCACATAGTGTGACCCATTAAATATAACTGTAAAAAAATAATAATAGTAATAATATTGCACTTTTTTAAAATAAAATAAACAAAATAATAAAGTGTTATAATTCTATTATATTTTAAAATGCCAATATTTACTTTTTTTAATATGAATTTCCATCATTTTCTAACTTAAAATCAGCAAGCTTTTATTTTGGCATGTTGCCTATATACTAAATTAACCAACCACAAATAATTTTCAAGAACTGTATGTTCGTCAATGAAAAACATTTTAATAAATATGAATTGTGAATTATGAAAGTAATTTAATCTGAACAGTGACGCAATTATAGACTTCACAATGCATCAATAATAATGTAATGAATGAATGCTACAACAAATATTTAAAATAATAATTAATATTCCGTGATTTCACACATACCTCAGAGCCCTCTGCATTGAAATGATCTAAAGCCTGCTTCCTCATTTCACCCTTTATGGAACCATCCAGTCTCTATAAACACAAACACTACCATAAGTCACACCTGAGCCACAAACAGTGCACTTAACTCCAGATCACTTGCAGTGAGTGAGTCCTGCCATCACCTGGAATAAGAACTGCCGGTACTTCAGGTACTCAGCCAGGATGTCCAGCATCCGGACCATCTGGGAGAAGATAAGCACACGGTGCCCTCGTTCCTTCAGCCGAACCAGCAGCTTATCCAGAAGAATCAGCTTCCCACTGCTGCGAATGAGGTGCTGCAGACAATACATCAGTTCAATCTGTATGTAGTCAGTGCTGACCCACTGGTTTCGGTTAGCTGTGGTTATATGCATTACAAGATTTTCCTCTAGCAAGAGCTTTTGAAAAGATCACCTTTAACTATGAAGCCACTAAAGCAGAAGTTTTTTCAACACAAAATTCAATATTCTGCCACATAGGTATTTTCTGAGACGTCTGCTTAGAGCTTAGTAAAAGTTAGTCAGATAATTCTAATTTAGAGTCTTATTTTTTTTTATTATATTAATTTATTTAAATACTTTCATGTCATCCTATGCCGCCTTGAAATTTTGCTAAGTCCCAACAGTGGGCCCTCGACCCAGTTAAGAGCCACAGCCCACAAATTCACAAAAAACATATGAATGCACAGGAAAAACAAACAGCAACTGGTAACCGGTGAACATGGTGTTATCTTTTACATCGAAGTTTCTCATGCAAGCACAAATTGTCACTTTAGGGGTTTGCAAGCAACTAATGTTAAACTTTTTATAAACAAAAACTCAGATATTGTGCCATGTTAAAGGGTTAGTTCACCCAAAAATGAAAATTAGGCTGCGTTTTACTCACGCAACCTAGGTGTGTATGACTTTCTTCTTTCAGACGAATCCAGTCGGAGTTATATTAAACATTGTCTTTGATCTTTCAAGCTCTATCATTGCAGTCAGCGGGTGTTGCAGTGCTTCAGTCCAAAAGAAGTTAAATAAAAAGTGCCCATGCATAAAAAAAAAAGGGTCTCACACGGCTCCGGGGGGGGGGGCAAAGTCCTCCTGTAGCGAATCAATGCGTTTTTGTAAGAAAAATATCCATTTTCAAAACTTAATAAATCACTTTAATCTAGCTTGCGCTCACTAGTGTTGTTTTTGGCAGCCTGTTTTAATTTTAGTTTTAGTCTAGTCTTTGTGTGAAACTGTCATTTTAGTTTTTATTAGTTTTAGTCACGTTCATTCTCTTTTTAGTCTAGTCAAGTTTTAGTCGACTAAAAGTCTGAGCATTTTAGTCTAGTTTTAGTCGACGAAAACTGATTACATTTAGTCTAGTTTTAGTCAATGAATTGAAACTATTTTAGTCTCTTTTTAAAAATGCAATTCTATTTAACCCAGTCAATATAGTAGAAGTACCTAATGTTAGTAGTATAGGATTTAATTATCGTCATCGTCACATGACCAGCATTTTCGTCTCGTCACGTCATAAAGGTTCGTTGACGACTATATTTAGTCAATTTTCGTTGACGAAAGCAACACTAGCGCTCACTGTTGTACACTGTTGTCAGCTTTGCGCATATGCCGGTGAGTCTCGTGAAAACCAACGTTTGTTTGCAGGAGCAAAGTTTCCTTACTTTAGCAAAGGAAAACCAGTCTCCTCTTGGCTTATATCGAAATCCTCCGACATTCTTCTTTACAAATCCTCGTTTTGTACTTCTAATTAGTGACCGTTGTTTTGTTTTAATCTCTCCACTGCGCTTCAGTGTTCGTCTATTCTGAGCGGCGCATGCGCAAAGCTGACCTCGTACGTCATCCTCCCGGAGCTGTTTCAGTGTACAACAGTGAGCACAAGCTAGATTCAAGTGATTATTAAGTTTTGAATATGGATATTTTTCTTACAAAAACGCATCGATTTGCTACCGGAGGCTTTGTTCACCCCCCCGGAGCAGTGAGAGACTTTTTTTATGGATGTGCGCTTTTTATTTAACTTCTTTTTGACTGAAGCACTGCAACACCCGCTGACTGCAATGATAGAGTTTGGAACAGCCAGAACAATTTTTAATATAACTCCGACTGGATTCGTCTGAAAGAAGAAAGTCATATACACCTAGGATGCTTCGGGGTGAATAAAAAGTAGGCCTAATTTTCATTTTTGGGTGAACTAACCCTTTAATGATATTTTATCCAAACCATTTGTGACCTTTAAAAAAATATATATTTTGATGTGACACTGAAAATATATATGAACATATAAAATATTTTGTTTATATTTTTTATAACCTTGTTATATTTGTAGCTATTACAATTTTGTCTAATTAGTGCTTTCCGTCTGGAGGTGAAAACCCACCTGTAGGCCTTCTTGTCTGTTGTAGAACTCGTCCTCAGGCGATTTAATGAGGTAGCAGTGGTTACAGCATTTCTTCAACTCCATCATGACGTTGAGGAAGCCTGACTTGCTTCCTTTAGTGCCTTTACTCAGGGCTTTATAGTTTCTCGTCAATATCCACCTAAAAAAAAATATATTAATAAATGTAACTAGGGGGATCTCATTGTAAAAGTGGACTTTAGTGGGAATTATATAGCCAGATTTTTCTTCAGGAAAAATAATGTTAGAATATAGAATGACAAGACTAATCACATGAATAAAGTAAAAAGGGATCCGTTTAGATTCCATGCTGATGTTTGTGCCGTCTCTCTCTCTACTGTACTCAGCACTTTACTCCAAATGCTGGGGGTTCTCTTACTTGTAGTATTGTTTCTGAACAGCGCTCATCTCCACCCTGAGGATCTGCTCCACCTTGGCAGGCAGAGATTTCTCCACATCCTTCTTCACTCTGCGCAGCAGGAAGGGCTCCAGCTCCTTATGAAGGCTGGTATAGCCAGAGTCTCTGCCTTTGCCATGTTCCTCTTCAAACATCTCCCACGAGTGAAATCTACCAACATGTCAGCTTATATCAGCCCTTCATTCAGTGTCATCATTGTATTACACCAATACAAGAACGTGGTTAACTCTTCTCTCCATGGTACTTAGCCTTGACAGTTTAAAACGAACCACAAAGCTTTACAAGAGCTACCAAAATACCACATGAAAAGCTCATTTGCATATAGTAGTACTGCACTGAAAAACTGTGGCTACACATTGAACAGAAAAACAAAAAACACAAGTCGACTGATACGACAAGAGCACACCTACTTTATAGGCATAATAAAATGCAGCAGAGACCAGAGCTCTTTGAGTGAGTTCTGGAGGGGTGTGCCTGTGATCAGAAGCCTATGGTTGGACTTGAACTCAATCATAGTCTTGTAGAGGAGCGAGTCGTCGTTCTTCAGCCGATGGGCCTCATCTACACCAATGAACGCCCAGCTCACATTTCCTAAAAATGACTGCAAGAGAAAATATAACAATGAGCTCTCTGCTCCGCTAAAATACACATTCCTCTCTCTCTTTTACATAGATATTAATATATGTGACCCTGGAGCACAAAAGCAGTCTTAAGTTGCTGGGGTATATTTGTAGCAATAGCCAAAAATACATTGTATGGGTCAAAATTATTGATTTTTCTTTTATGCCAAAAATCATTAGGATATTAAGTAAAGGTCATGTTCCATGAAGGTATTTTGTAAACTTACTACTGTAAATATCAAAACTTAATTTTTGATTAGTAATATGCATTGTTAAGAACTTCATTTGGACAACTTTAAAGATGATTTTCTCAATGATTTTCTCTTTTTGATTTGTTTGCACCCTCAGATTCCAGATTTTCAAATAGTTGTATATCGGCCAAATATTGTCCTATCCTAACAAACCTTACATCAATGGAGAGCTTATTTATCCAGCTTTCATATGATGTATACATCTCAATTTAAAGAAATTGACCCTTATGACTGGTTTTGTGGTCCAGGGTCACATAATATATACATCCAAACTCAGCTTTTGACTCAAGCTGTACCTTATCCTTCAGCAGAATTTCATATGTAGTAAGCAGAACGTTGAACTTGAGTCGCTTGGTCTGCGGATGCATCCATTCATGTGTCCGGATCTGAACAACAGACAGACTGGCGTTACACTTCTTGTGTGCAAGAAATCTAGGAAATGCACACTCTTGCATTTTTTTTTTTAACCATACCATGTTTCTGCTGCTGATGTCTCCCAGGTACACCACAACATTTATCTGAGGAGCCCAGAGCTGGATCTCCCTCTGCCAGGATGTGAGGGTAGACAGAGGCACCACCAGAAGGAACGGCCCGTAAAGCTGGTGCTCATGGAACAAGTAATTGAGGAAGCTGATAGTCTGGATAGTTTTGCCCAGACCCATCTCATCTGCCAGGATGCAACTGTTTCCTCTGGGAAAGCAGAAGAGTATGAGTGATGAAGAAACTGATGAAATCACTCACGACTGTGGGAGAAATTATATGAATGATCTATCATGACACTGGGGTGATGTCTACTAGGAATAAACAAAACGGACATACTTGCACCAAGAATGGGCCATCCAGTTCAGACCCTCCAACTGATAGTCGCGCAGCTCCAATCCATCTGCGCCAATGTAGGGAGGCTGCTTCTTCATGGGTACAAACCGTGGCCTCTGTTTTAAAACCTACAGGAAATCAAATATTTAACTGGTTGTACAGTGATCGGGGTTTCATTTGCTCGCTCAGATGACCGGCGTTGAGTGCCATTACCTTGCACTCTCTGGAGGGAATGGTTTTGCACTGATTCCGACTCATGTATTCATCAATGCACTTTTGAAACTTTCTGCCAATGAGTGCACCGTCTTCCCAGCTGCACTCGAAGTACGGCAGCCCCTGCCATTTACAAAGGTAATCTGGATAACCTGCGGCAGACTTCTGATTTGAATGTCCTGCCAGATTAAGACAACAGTAAAGGTAAATAAATGCTCCCACAACTGACCAAAACAAAGACAATGGGAAGCAGCATCCTCTTACCGATGATTCTCTCCACAAGCTGATATTGTGAATGCAAGTCATCCATGAGCTCCTGCTGACAGTTGAAGTACTCCACATCCTCAGGCGAGGCAGCTTTGAGCCTACAGGCGACAACGTAAGAACAAATTAGCATCTAAAGCCACATTCCCTATTGGAAATTGAGTTTCTTTAATGATTCATACCATTTCTTTTTCTCCTGATCTTTTTTCTTGAAGTTGTCCAGTTTCTTCATGCCCTTCACGTTCTGTTGTTTGAGCGTCTCCTCTGTCTCCCAGGTGTTGTGAATGTGGGACCAGTTCTTCCATTTCATCAAGTATTGCACCTCTCCTGGCTGTCTGTTGGGGTCAAAGTTGGCGTTGGGGTCCCCATCTGCCTCTACTGCATACACTGTGGTTACGGCCCCCGTTGCTGAACAAGAACAAGAGAACACCTTAACATATAATATGTCTTCTAAACTTTTCTCCCAAGCTGACTGTGTTGTCACGTTTCACTCTGCCTCAAGAGAAACAGACATAAATTTAAGCAGTCCTGCCCACTGAAAGCTGTGTGGATTTATTCATGTCACACAGACTGAACAGCTGACGAACAGCTGCCACATACAAAAATGCTTCATACAGTAATAGATTTTTTTGTGCTCACCTCCTTTCCGGCCTATCCTCATTTCCATAACTCTCTCCAGTGTCTCAAACTCGTCCTCCTCCGGCGGTGGGACGTCCTCTCCACACACCTCCACCAGGTCATCTGAATCAGTCTTCAGTTCTTCATCTTCTTTGTAGCTCACATTGACTGTGGCCTGCCGCCGAGGTCCCGCTAAAGCTTTTTTATAGTCGTCCTCGTCATCTGAGGAGGAGCGGGAGGGCTTCTTCTTAGGAGCGTTGTTATTTCTCCCATTCCTGGCATTGGCCCTGAGAGATGAGCAGAGATTCATTCAGCGACAGAAAACTAAATAAAATAGACACAAGGACGCACCAATAGGGTCCAGGGACATGTGAAAAAATCAAGACCAAAACAACCACATTTGGAAGCATTGATCCAGCGGAAGCGGAGGATACAATTGTTTTGAAAGCAGCTTTTTTGGTTGCAGTGCCAAAGCTTTGAGGATTTTCTTCCAGTAAAGTTCCCTCTCGCATTGACAAAGATTTGGTATGTGCCCTTAAATAATTACACTGCCCAAGTATACCATGCTTTGACAAAATATGTGCATGAAATATGCAGGTTAAAAAAAAAGTCCACAAGGACACAATATTTAAGTTTGAGAAGTGAGTTTAGTAGATATTAAATTAATTACTCATCATAGGCCACAGCAAAAAAACGTAATTGAGTTAAACCTTTGAAAAATTTGACAAATCTAAATTATTTTGAAAACTTCATTCAGAGGTTATACACACCAATTTTTTTTTTGTTACTAACAAACAGTGTTGAGAAAAGTTACTTTTAAAAGTAATGCATTACAATATTGCGTTACTCCATTAAAAAAAGTAACTAATTACGTTACTTAGTTACTTTTTATGGAAAGTAATGCGTTACATTACTTTTGCGTTACTTTTTAATCTGGACAGGGCTTGCTTGTTTGTTTTTAAAATAAAAAAAGTTATATTTTTGGCAAATATAAAAGCCTTTTCACACCAAAAGTGAAATGAATAAGCCTCAGGCTGAAGGGAAAGTAAATGTACGTCCGTACAGTAGAATGCAGAAGACATTTCAACACATTTTAGCAATAAAAAAAACACAAATGTTTGTCTAGAGTAATTTGTGCTTATTAGTACGGTTGAACTGAATCAGCGAAGGTCAGAAGCAAAGACATTGGTTAATAAAATGGGAATAAATACATAAAGGACATTTGTGTTGTTTAACATTTAATTATGACAGGTTTGCGTCATATTCGGAGTTGCATTATTTTTATTAATTTTGAGGAATACTGAATCTGTGTTTTTTTTTTTTGTGAGTGAGATGAATTAATGCATATTCATATTTATTTTAGAACTACAGTAACATTTGATTTCTCTCAACATGGGGACAGGAGAGCTGTCAATCAATAAATTGGGGAAAAAAAGTAACTCAGATATTCTGTTGTAAATTAAAAAGTAATGCGTTACTTTACTAGTTACTTGAAAAAAGTAATCTGATTGCGTAACTCGCGTTACTTGTAAAGCGTTACCCCCAACACTGGTCACATGATCCTAAAAACAGTTAGAAAAAAGACACAAATGTGTGTCTAGAGTAATTTGTGCTTATTAGTACGGTTGAACTGAATCAGCGAAGGTCAGAAGCAAAGACATTGGTTAATAAAATGGGAATAAATACATAAAGGACATTTGTGTTGTTTAACATTTAATTATGACAGGTTTGCGTCATATTCGGAGTTGCATTATTTTTATTAATTTTGAGGAATACTGAATCTGTGTTTTTTTTTTTGTGAGTGAGATGAATTAATGCATATTCATATTTATTTTAGAACTACAGTAACATCTGATTTCTCTCAACATGGGGACAGGAGAGCTGTCAATCAATCAATAAATAAAAAAGTAACTTGCGTTACTTATTTGAACAAGTAACTCAGATATTCTCTTATAAATTAAAAAGTAATGCGTTACTTTACTAGTTACTTGAAAAAAGTAATCCGATTACGTAACTCGCGTTACTTGTAATGCGTTACCCCCAACACTGCTAACAAAGTAGAAGAAATAAGTATTTTTTAGATATTTCAAAATGGAACTGCATAATGGGGAGTTTTGAAAGTATTAAGAGGAAAGGTGAATTTTGATTTAATGTTGACTTTGAAAAAACACTAAACAATGGAGGACTTCTGTGAAAAATACCTTACATAAAATGGCAGAAGTAAACCAAGATTAATGTGAAAACCGTACTTGTTTGAAGGTTTTCTGCTCTTGACTTTGTGACTGGGCTCATAGTCTGACACGGACTCGTCACTGTTCCCTTGCTCCTCTGCTGGAGAGTCAGACGAGCCACTTCCTGAACCAGAGCCCGAGTCCGAGTCTGAACCAGACCTACACACAGAACACCAAGGTCAATGTTAACCAGATGCAGAGCGAGAGTGTAATCACGTGATGTACCAATGCAGGCGGTTTCCACACCAAACAGTCACTCACCCTTTACTCCTGCTCTTTGAGTCATCATCCGACTCATCACTACTGGAAGAGTCCTGCAGGTAAGAGCACAACACTGACTTATAACCAGAGGCATTTGCAAATCTATGATAATTTTTATGGAGTTTATTTTCACTTAGTGACTGTGCTGCAGTCAGAGCATGCAGTACCTCGTCTGAGCCAGTGTTTGAGGAGCTCTGCTGCTGGAGCTGCTGCTGCTGTTGAAGCTGTTGTTTCCTGAGCATGGCTGACCTTTGCACTGTCAGGATACTGGGATTGGACTTCCAAAACTACAACAAGGAGTTACAACAACAGAGATATTTTCAAACACTTACAAACAAAGGTTCTGTCCCAAAACCCTGTGAAGTGCCTACTCAGTGTTTCCCATTCATTAGCTAGACTCTGGTGACCGCCATGGTGTAATCTGTTCCGCCACGGTTTCAAAATGACCCGGAAACATTAGTAGACCTCTCATAACAACATAAAAGGTCTCTAACCTTGTGTTTTGTCCCATTGCTTTAGCAACGCGAGCATCTGTCAAACAAACTAAAATTGAATGCAAGACGTGGTTTAGTGCCCTAATCAAATTGCAAAAGGTGGTGACTATATAGTCTGACAGAAATTTAGCTATTCTTATCTAAAATTACTATTTCCATTGTGCATAAAGGCTCATCCTAACACCAAGTGAACTTCCGTTAAACTTCACTGAATGAATGCCAGTATGAGCAGTGACCGAGTGGAACAGAAAGCGCAATCATTCAGAAATATGCTAAAATTTGTTACTGAAATTGCACGTAACAAGTAATGTGATAGCATGTTATTGTATATAAACATAAAAGTCTCTTATTTTAAAATGATAAAGAAATGTCATTAACGTGTTAAAGGGGTCATATGATGCGATTTCAAGTTTTGCTTTCTCTTTGGAGTGTTACAAGCTGATTGTGCATAGATATGATCCCTGAAGTTGCAAAGACTAAAGTCTCAAAACCAAAGAGATATTTTTTATCAAAGTTAAGAGTCAGTCACGCCCCCCTAAAACGGTTCGTTCTAACACGCCCCCACATATCTACCTCACTATGTGGAAATATTAGCATAATGCACCCAAATGTGCACGCAAAGAAAGAAGGCGTGGTTTCAGTAACCGCAGTTAGTGTTGAAGCAGCATGTCAGGGAGACGCTGTGTGTTTCTAGGCGAAAGCAAAAGCACTTTATTTGGTCTTCCGGAAGTAGATGCATTTAGGAATCTTTCAAGATTACTTACAACAGAACAGCAATGCATTTTATGGACGACCGTTTCGTGAACCTAGGAGAGGAGGTAATTCTGACTTTGTATGCTTGCGGTGTTCGGCCAATCACAATGCACTGGGTCAGCTGGCCAATCAGAGCAGACTGCGCTTGTCGGAAGGAGGGGCTTTGTAGAAAACTAAGCGTTTGAGAGAGGCGGGGCATAGAGGACCTACAATAATGTACAGTATCTGAAAAATAATGTGTTATTTGAACATTAAAGCATGTCAACATATTCTGTTACACCAAATAATGATCTTTAAAAAAGCATCATATGACCCCTTTAACGTGTGTTCCTGTAGAACATCTTATCAGTTTGTTTTGTGCCTTTGTTTTTCTTCATCATCAGCATGCCCCACGCATCTGACAACTTTACACGAAAGCTCTATGAAACTTACCGCTGCTCCGTCGATTTTGTTGTCTTGATCATTCTTTTCCTTGGATTTCTCAGAGTCCGAGTCTGATTGGCTTCCAGAATCCGAGCCGCTTCCTGAGTCACTGCTCCCTGATTGGCTACTGCTAGAACTGCTGCTGCTTGAACTCGAGCCGGAGCCAGAACCCGATCCTGACCCAGACTCATCATCTGAATTACTGAGACACACACAACATTTATATGGATCAAACGGAGGAGTCAATTCCTCTACAACATCATTTGCACATTTGAATGCTGGTTTTAAACTCTAAAATGACAACACAATTATTAAAAAAAACATTACTAGGACCCAAAGCTCTGTCACCATTTACTTCCTATGAAGTTCCAAACATGTTTTTTATTTTTGTACATTTAAACATGATGACACATCAGTAACGTGCAAAATTAGTAACTACCATTAATTGTATGTTTTAATGACAATGCATGCTTGCCCAGCAAAATAACGTAGGTTAGGCTTTCATGTAGTTTACTGATGAATTAAGACTAGGGATGTGCAAAACTACTACTAGTCAACTAAACAGTACCGCTGCTGAAAGCTAGCATTGGAAATACCAGTCAACTAATCAGTGAAATATTGTTTCCCACGACACTCTTCAACTTTTAGCATTTACATTTTGCTATAGATTTACACAAAAACTATGCACAACTACTGTCATGTTAATGTTACTTTAAAACAATTAAATATTAGCCTAATAAAAGTTAATAAACCGCAGTTATCCAAATCATCTCACGTCTTTCATGCTTCTTCCCACTTTCACACGCTTTGCACAGAAGACGACGAGCAAAGCATGATGTTATTGATGCTTTGTTAGTCAGCGAAAATGTAAGCCTATATCACTTTCCAGTCATAGTACACCTTTAGCACTACAATGACCTGGAATAGCCAAAACATTGATTGCAGATAAAAAAAAATGAAATCATGGATGTCTGACAAATACTGAAGAAACTGCGTAAGATCATATGAGTTGCATTGTGTTACTGACAACTAAAGTAACCATTAGTCCGGCATGCAAATCAACTCCTCTCATCCCAAAAAGTACATGTAAAGGTTTATTTTGATAGTATGTGCGAACAAACAATTTTAGCAAGAATGAAGTTAGAGTGCTCTGATGTAAAAAGCCTGCTGTCAAACACACCAGATGCAAGCGGTACATCAAAAGTAAATAGATCTGATTATAATCTATGAACCTGTCTTCACTGGACGTCTTTCCTGAAGCTGGACATTATGAATAAACATTCAGTTTTACAGTATGGAAAATAAAGCTAAGATATTCTACCTAAAATCTTTCCTCTCACAGAAGAAAATAAAATGGGTTACAACAAGATGAATGCGAGTAAATGCCACAATTTTCTTTTTCAGGCAAACTATTTCTGATTTAATATTTTAGTATCATATTTTTAAACATCAAAATGCCATGTATTCTGATTACCTGGACTCTCCGCTGCTGTTGCTGACACTTTCATCCTCACTGCGTCCATCCATCGCAAACAAATATTAAAGATTAGTCCCTGATGAGATCCTTGCAGTCTGTGCGCACCACTTCAGAGCAGCTCACCTAAAGTTATGTGAAGTGATTAGAACAGAAGCTCAGAGAAATTGAATGTTTTTATCAAAGTGACTTATCTTAAGTTTGACAGTAAACATCACCCAGTCATTTCCAAGAGACTACAGTATAAAGAAGTCTGAGCAACTGAGATGAACACAAAACACTGCAGCTGAAACTATTTAATAGCTGGTTACACTCAAATTATTTAAATTGAACCTTCTCTGCATTTTGTTTGCCATTGTAACCACAGTAGCGGGGATGCACATGCGTGCAGTTTAGAAAATCATTTGCTTGCATATATACTGTATATTATTACTTCATTCTTCAATATTATAGTCCTAATATTGCCGGAGTACACTTCTTAGAGAGGATTACTTCGCTACGTCCCCTCTTCAAAACACCACACCAATGAAAGTTAAAGGCAAAATTTTCTTCTAATCACGTTTGGTCTCCACGTACAATCTACAGACGAATCGTTCAGGCCTCTTTTATGTAAAGCAAAATAATCAGCACTGTTTAATGAATGAAAGAGATCTGTGTGATGTTGACCGCAGAGGCCTCTAGCGCTCGGGCCTAAAAAGCCGCGGACTTTCCTGAGCTGTATGGCCACCAGAAGCAACGCTATGCTCGGGCGCAGGCGCGCAATACTGTCGGGTCACCATTACATCCAGGACTTCTCTGCATTTTGTTTGCCATTGTAACCACAGTAGCGGGGATGCACATGCGTGCAGTTTAGAAAATCATTTGCTTGCATATATACTGTATATTATTACTTCATTCTTCAATATTGTAGTCCTAATATTGCCGGAGTACACTTCTTAGAGAGGATTACTTCGCTACGTCCCCTCTTCAAAACACCACACCAATGAAAGTTAAAGGCAACATTTTCTTCTAATCACGTTTGGTCTCCACGTACAATCTACAGACGAATCGTTCATTTATGTAAAGCAAAATAATCAGCACTGTTTAATGAATGAAAGAGATCTGTGTGATGTTGACCGCAGAGGCCTCTAGCGTTCGGGCCTAAAAAGCCGCGGACTTTCCTGAGCTGTATGGCCACCAGAAGCAACGCTATGCTCGGGCGCAGGCGCGCAATACTGTCGGGTCACCATTACATCCAGGGGTGTTTACAAAATCCTGTTGTCATTAAGTTTATCGGGTCTTGAAATTATGTTTCACATCATAAAACCACATTTTGAGACTGTGTTTTGATCGTCTGACCCACTAGCAGTGCTGGATTGGCGCTACATTTCAAATCTTTCATCAGTCTCTTTGGGTATTCAAGGGCAGGTTTTAAGATGGTTTAGATCCTACCTGTCCAAACGTTAAAATGGGAATCATCTCAATTAACACCAGAAAAGAATGGAGTGCCTCAAGGATCTGTCTTAGGCCCTCTACTATTTTCAATATACATGTTTGCCCCTTGAGAATATGGGATTAGTTTCCATTGTTAAACTGATGATACTCAACTATTTATTTGAACAAGACCAGATGAAACTACTAAATTGTCTAAGCTAACAGAGTGCGTTAAAAATGTAAAAGATTGGACGACCAATAATGTTTTCCTATTAAATTTGGATAAGACAGAGATGTTATTTATTGGACCAAAAAAAAAAAAACAGTACACAGAATCTCTTAGATTACAATTTGCATCTAGATGGATGTACTGTTACTTCCTCAATGGTCCAAAAATTGGGTGTTATATTAGACAGCAACTTGTCTTTTGAAAATCATATTTCCCATGTTACAAAAACAGCATTCATCCATCTTAGAAACATCTCTAAGCTATGGAACATGTTACCTGTTTCCGATGCATAAAAACTACGTAGTTCATGCATTCATGACCTCAAGACTGGAATATTGTAATGGACAGCTAGGTGGTTGTCCTGCATCTTCAATAAACAAGCTACAGGTCCAAAATGCGGGCACTAGAGTCCTTACCAGGTCAAGAAAATATGATCATATTACCACAATTTTACAATCTTTACACTGGCTACCTATTAAGTTCGTATCAGATACAAAATATTACTACTTAGCTCCTGTGTACCTAACCAGTCTTCTATCATGCAACAAATCATTGCGCTCCTTAAGGTCGCAAAATGCTTCGGTTCCTAGCCTAACCTCGGTTCCCTGAGATAAGGGAACAAACATTGCGTTGACACGCTTATGGGGGAAAACTCCTGTTTACTCTGGTACTGAAGCCTGATTTGTTCACGTTTGTGTAGATGCATGAACCAATGGCTCTTCAACCCGCCAAAAGGGAAGGAGCTGACCTCTATATAAGTTGGCTCTGAGCGCCATTTCTTCAGAATCTTTCAACTGAAGCGACAGTCAAAGATTCACTTGCAGTCTTATAGCACGGCAGCCTACGCAACGCTCATTCCCTTATCTCAGGCATGAGCCAATAATGAGACCCAAGCGTTTAGGCTGAGGACTTCACAACATAACCCTCTCCACTTATAAGGGGGTTAGGTAGAATTAAGGGCAGGGTCGTTCAAGTTATAAAACCTAGTGAAGGTAGATGGCGACGACCAGCCGGCAGCTGCACAAATATCAGCAATAGAAATCCCGCTGGACCAAGCCCAGGAGGAGGCCATTTACCACTATAGGACACTGCAAGCCCGCTGAGGCATAAGCACACAAAGTGCTGCTCTGAGTATCTAAACAGGCCAGAGTGCTCAACATACACTCTAATAGCCCGAACCGGGCAGAGTGGATTAGGACCCTGCTCACCATCTGAACTGGGGAGCACCAGAAGGGTGATGACTTGTGCTCTAAACAGAGTGGAGGATTTTGAGGATGACTCTTCAGTCGTTAGGTCCAAACTCAAGTCAGGAATCACTGACCGACAGTGATTGCAGGTCACCCACTCGCTTGACCGACGCTAGAGCCAAAAGGGCCCGCAAGCATCTGAACTGGGGAGCACCAGAAGGGTGATGACTTGTGCTCTAAACAGAGTGGAGGATTTTGAGGATGACTCTTCAGTCGTTAGGTCCAAACTCAAGTCAGGAACTGACCGACAGTGATTGCAGGTCACCCACTCGCTTGACCGACGCTAGAGCCAAAAGGGCCCGCAAGTCAGCCAACTGGAGCGGCTCAAAGGGAGGGCCCCGTAGGGCCCTGAGGACTATAGACAAGTCCCAAGTCAGCACAGTATGAGGACGAAGCAGATTCAATCTCTGAACTCCCCTCAGATACTTAACGACTATTTCGTTTCAGCTGACTGATTGGCCAGCCACGAAAGAATGATTCGCCATGATGGCTGCCACATACACTTTGAGCACGGAAGGGGTGCGCCCCTTATCCAGCAGCTCTTGTAGAAAGGATAGCATGTGGCACATGTCACAAGAGGACAGGTCCTCGTTCCATGCTCTACACTAGTCAGAGAAGACTGACCATTTGAGGGAATAAATATGTCATGTAGACAGAGCTCTAGCCTCCAAAATGGTATTAATTACACTCATAGGTAGCTGCAAAGACTCCCGTTGAGGGTCCAAACATGAATGTTCCACAGCTCTGGCCGGGGATACCAAATCATGCCCCTTGCTTGCGAGAAAAGGTCCTCCCTCTGTGGTATCAGCTAAGAGGCTGCCAATAGCAGTTGAATCAACTTGGGGAGCCACATCTGATTCCTCCAGAGTGGGGCCACCAGGAGGACTGAGCATCTGACTTCCTGGACCCGTCTGATGACCTGAGGAAGCAGGGCAACCGGGGGGAACACATATAGGCGAGCACTGGGCCAATTCTCCACCAAGAGGTCCACCTCTGCCCTCCCGAAGACAGACCAAATCATTTGAACCCTTTGGGGATGTAATCTCCATTCTCCTGGATCTACCTTGTCCCTGGACAGCATGTCTGCCCCCTGGTTCAGTCTGCCCAGCACATGAACTGCTCTCTGTGAGAGGAGTTTGCCTTGTGCCCATAGAAGAAAGCGTCGAGCCAACCTGTGTAGGGAGTGTGACCTGAGACAGCCTTGGTGATTGATAAAGGCTACCACCGTCATGTTGTTCGAGCGGACCAGGACGTGGTGCTCCTTTAAGGCCGGCAGGAATAATGCAGCAGTGGGTTACCCTGAGATGAAAACATCCCAGGCACGAAGCATGGGAAGGAACATGGGCTTTGAGCCAGTACTGAATGTTGAGTAGGCCAAGAGGAATTACAGAGGAAGTGGCCGACATGAGGCAGAGCATTCTCTGGAAAGCCCTGAGGGGAAATGAAGTCCCTAATTTGAATGACACCGCTAGTCGCTGAATAGTCAGGGAACATTCTGACATAATCCATGCCCGCATTCGGGCAGAATTAGGGATGCACCGATACCACTTTTTCCAGAACTCGCCTGATACCGATACTTTTATTTTTGGTACTTGCCGATACCGAGTACCGATACCAATATTTTCATTGCATTTGTAAATTTTTTAAATATTGGGTACAGAGACCAAAAAGTATGTATAATGTTAGTTGGTTAACTTCATTTATCAAATAGATACAGTCAAACCAAAATGTATTCAGACACCTTCAACATTTCTCACATTATCACAGTTTATTCATTATAGTTAGTTTTCTCTCTCTCTATGGTAGCCTACATCATCTTTAATTTAATAGCATTAGAGCTGCTCCATTGCAGCGGCTTAGTTCTGTAATCACGCGATTTGCTGTAAAAATGCAGGGAAACACTCGCTATAAATCTCCTAACTGTGATATTTTCATGAATAGAAGTCGCGTTTTTTTCATCTGAAATGTGCAGCGATTTATATTCCACAGCCACTCATATAATGCAGAAACACTCATGAAGCAAGCAAAACAAGCGCAACGCGTACACGTATTTGTACTGGTGCAGAATGAGAGGACAGTAGTACAGCCTAGAGCATTTCACACAGGCTGTTAGTTTCACTTTCACCAGAAAGTCGTGTATGTTTAAGGGTGAAAATAAATGACGTTTATAGTGAATGCCCCTATAAATTGTCTTATATTTATGATTTAGTTTTAATCCAAATGATGCGGGAGC